GCGGCCGTCCTCCGCGAGAAGGACCAGGTCCACGAGAAGGAGCGGGCCCTCCGGGACCTGCGCGGCAAGCTGAGCCGGGAGGAGGTCAGCCAGGAGACCCAGACGCGGGAGACCAACCTCTCCACCAAGATCTGCATCCTGGAGCCCGAGACCGGCAGGGACTTGTCCCCGTACGAGGCCTACCAGAGGGGCATCGTCGACCGCGGCCAGTACCTGCAGCTGCAGGAGCTGGAGTGCGACTGGGAGGAGGTGAGCACCTCGGGCCCCTGCGGGGAGGAGTCGGTGCTGCTGGACCGCAAGAGCGGGAGGCAGTACTCCATCGAGGCCGCCCTGCGCGGCCGGCGCGTCTCCAAGGAGGAGTACCGTCTCTACCGGGAGGGCCGGCTGCCCGTGTCCGAGTTCGCCCTGCTCGTGGCCGGGGAGACCGGGCCCTGCGCCGCGCCCTCCATCGGCTCCATCATCTCCAAGTCCCCGCGCGCCTCCCCGGGCCCCCGGAGCGCCTGCTGCTTCTCGCCCGGCTTCTGCGCGGGGCTGGGCGACGACAGCTTCCCCATCGCCGGCGTGTACGACACCACCACCGACAACAAGTGCAGCATCAAGACGGCCGTGGCTAAGAACATGCTGGACCCCGTCACCGGGCAGAAGCTGCTGGAGGCACAGGCGGCCACGGGCGGCATCGTGGACCTGCTGACGCGGGAGCGCTGCTCCGTGCACAAGGCGCTGGAGCGGGGCCTGATCGACGGCGCCTGCACGCAGAGGCTGCTCAACGCCCAGAAGGCCTTCACCGGCGTGGAGGACCCGCTCAGCAGGAAGCGGCTGTCGGTGGGCGAGGCGGTGCAGAAGGGCTGGATGCCCCGGGACAGCGTGCTCCCGCACCTGCTGGCGCAGCACCTGACCGGGGGCCTCGTCGACCCCACGAGGACCGGCCGCATCCCCGTGCCGCAGGCCGTGCAGTCCGGGATGATCAGCGAGGAGCTGGCCCAGCTCCTGCAGGACGAGTCCAGCTACGAGAAGGATCTGACAGACCCCATCTCCAAGGAGCGGCTGAGCTACAGGCAGGCCATGGGGCGCTGCCGGAAGGACCCCCTGAGCGG